TAAAGAGCAGACAGGTTTGTAGAAAGCAACTTCCAATACACTTATTACAGTGACCTTTAACCTCTGGAAAGAAGGTTTCATACAAGTTTGAGTTCAGTTTCTAATTTAAGCATCAATAAGGTCCTGGTGTTTACATTAGATAATAACTTCAACAAGTTCCTCAGTTTGTAAAAACAAACTGTTTACTTATGTATTTACAACTGAATTCAACAGTGCACTTTGTCCTGGTGAGATTTCAAAGCAGTAATGTGAAGCTCATTTTTGCTAAAACAATTAGGTGAAGTGTGTAATTTCAGCGGCAGTAAATGGAATTGTATGACTGCTTGATTTCAAACAGGTTTTGTTGCCATGTTGGTCAGGATGGTGGAATAAACAGAAGTTGATAAGTTAACAAGCAATATTGTTCAAAAGTTTGAGGTTGATAAGAATTTTTTAACATTTTGGAAAAAAGTCTCACCAAGACTTCTGGCTGTAACTGTGTTTTGCCACACACTGATTTTAAATTTATAATGGATAGAAAAATTGCAGGAAACACCTGGTTAGTACACAGTTTGCTGAATAGATTTTAATTTCATTACGAGTATAAACTTAATTTTAGCATGTTTTTACAAACTGACAGAGATGTAGAATGTATTTTCTGTGTTAATCAACAACATGTCACAGATAGAGTTTAAAGGAATAGTTCACCCAAAAGTTACAATTTGCTGAAAATGTACTCACCTTCAGGTCATTCAAGATGTAGATGAGATTGTTTCTTCATCAGAACAGATCTGGTGAAATGTAGCATTACATCACTTGCTCACCAGTGGATCCTCTGCAGTGAATGGGTGCCGTCAGAATGAGAGTCCAAACAGCTGATTAAAAAATCACAATAATCCACACAACTCCAGTCCAACATCTTGTGAAGTGAAAAGCCACGTGTTTGGCATAAACTGGAGAAAGCAATTTTATGGATAGAGGACTTGAATTTAAACTGCAAAATGAAAGCAATGGTTTTAAGTTACAAATGTTTTAATAATTGAATGGTTTCTTACAAACACACAGCTTTTCACTCCACAAGAGTTAATTGATGGACTGGAGCTGTGTGGATGACTTGTGCATTATTGTGATGTTTTTATCAGCTGTTTGGACTTTGGACTCTCATTCTGACAGCACCCATTCACTGCAAAGGATTCATAATGTTCAATTTCTCCAAATCTGTTCCAAAACAGAAACAAACTCATCCTCCTCTTGGATTGCCTGAGAGTGAGTACATTTTCAGCAAATTTTCATTTTTGGTTGAACTGTTCCTTTAAGTTGAATTGTACCATGAACTTTCCAATAACGATGCCGGATGCTCTAGATTTCGTAATGCGAACCGCACCAGGGAAGTGAAACCCTGAGACCCTTTCTTGACAATCTTTCTAATAGGGGTTGAACCAGCAGGGGTTGATTAACCTAGAACAATAACAATAATGCCAACAAGAAAAGTGTGTCTGCGACCCGAGCTCGTTAGCATCCCAGCATCCCCCTCTCCTGCCTCGCTCAGGTATGGTTTCTATTTCACAGTACCTAAAGAAGAGAGGAGGGAAAGAGGTTGATGGAAGTGAGTTAGTGCCCAGGGGACAGAGAGAAGGGGGGCTCACCAAGACTTCTGGCTGTAACTGTGTTTTGCCACACACTGATTTTAAATTTATAATGGATAGAAAAATTGCAGGAAACACCTGGTTAGTACACAGTTTGCTGAATAGATTTTAATTTCATTACGAGTATAAACTTAATTTTAGCATGTTTTTACAAACTGACAGAGATGTAGAATGTATTTTCTGTGTTAATCAACAACATGTCACAGATAGAGTTTAAAGGAATAGTTCACCCAAAAGTTACAATTTGCTGAAAATGTACTCACCTTCAGGTCATTCAAGATGTAGATGAGATTGTTTCTTCATCAGAACAGATCTGGTGAAATGTAGCATTACATCACTTGCTCACCAGTGGATCCTCTGCAGTGAATGGGTGCCGTCAGAATGAGAGTCCAAACAGCTGATTAAAAAATCACAATAATCCACACAACTCCAGTCCAACATCTTGTGAAGTGAAAAGCCACGTGTTTGGCATAAACTGGAGAAAGCAATTTTATGGATAGAGGACTTGAATTTAAACTGCAAAATGAAAGCAATGGTTTTAAGTTACAAATGTTTTAATAATTGAATGGTTTCTTACAAACACACAGCTTTTCACTCCACAAGAGTTAATTGATGGACTGGAGCTGTGTGGATGACTTGTGCATTATTGTGATGTTTTTATCAGCTGTTTGGACTTTGGACTCTCATTCTGACAGCACCCATTCACTGCAAAGGATTCATAATGTTCAATTTCTCCAAATCTGTTCCAAAACAGAAACAAACTCATCCTCCTCTTGGATTGCCTGAGAGTGAGTACATTTTCAGCAAATTTTCATTTTTGGTTGAACTGTTCCTTTAAGTTGAATTGTACCTTGAACTTTCCAATAACGATGCCGGATGCTCTAGATTTCGTAATGCGAACCGCACCAGGGAAGTGAAACCCTGAGACCCTTTCTTGACAATCTTTCTAATAGGGGTTGAACCAGCAGGGGTTGATTAACCTAGAACAATAACAATAATGCCAACAAGAAAAGTGTGTCTGCGACCCGAGCTTGTTAGCATCCCAGCATCCCCCTCTCCTGCCTCGCTCAGGTATGGTTTCTATTTCACAGTACCTAAAGAAGAGAGGAGGGAAAGAGGTTGATGGAAGTGATTTAGTGCCCAGGGGACAGAGAGAAGGGGGGGTTAATCGGTTAACCAGAGTAACAGAGGGGAGGGGGGCCTGGCTACCGTCTGGGAGGTATGCCCTTGGTCGCTTTGTTCTGACTTACATATACACGAACAGGAAGTGATGCGAGGTGCACTAATATGCATACTTCATCTGCATTTGTGTGTGAACATTTAGTGCCCAGGGGACAGAGAGAAGGGGGGGTTAATCGGTTAACCAGAGTAACAGAGGGGAGGGGGGCCTGGCTACCGTCTGGGAGGTATGCCCTTGGTCGCTTTGTTCTGACTTACATATACACGAACAGGAAGTGATGCGAGGTGCACTAATATGCATACTTCATCTGCATTTGTCTGTGAACAATGGATTTGCACCTAATCCAGATTGTTTCCATCATTTAAGCTGAAATTGTCCTGGTTTCTGCATCACACATGCAGTGCTGTTTTTATACCTTTCTACTGCCTAGGTCAAGTTCCTGCGTAAGTTTGGATCATATGGACTTCTGTTAGTGTGAATCTCGTGAAAACTGTCACAGCATGTCCAGGTCATATTTCACCTCAAAATCAAATGAAAAAATAAGAAATGATATTTAGCATAAAGAAAATAGTTACATATTTAGATAATAATTATGATATATATTTTTCATGAACTGCCTCTGCTTTTTATTTTGTACTGTTCTCCGAGGTCCACTTATAATGTTATCAAGATTTTTACATCGAAAAACATAATTTAGAAGTAATAAGCTATTTTCTGTCCTGTTTTTAACCCCCCTCATCAGAACGCTCTGTTTGAACAGGCGTGGCAGATTGTAGACCCAGAAGTAAACGCCCACTGCTATGATTGGCTAAGAGTTGTGTATGTTTGACAGCGTACATTCGTACAAAGTGTACACTGCTGTGATTTAGGTCAAAAACGCATAAATAACTCAATACATATCAAACAATCTGTAAGAAGAGACAAAGCAATAGTGGCACGTAATGAAAACAGTTACTCACGCTTGTGTTGCGACATTACTGTTGGATCCAATATAGTGAGCACAGCATAGTCTTTTAGTTTCAATCTTTTTGAGAATCCTCCATCGAGTTGTGCCTTGTTTGTTACTACGTTAAACTACGTCTAACGTTAGGATCAGAAGAAAGGCAATGCAAATGCTGTTTTCCACAACTTGGCGCTGCACAGAGTCTTGTTGTCTTCAGAGCAATCTTTATTGTTTGGTTTCGTAGACCTGCACATTCGCCTCTCTCGTAAACACTACATGCGCGAATCGGTGGACGAGGCTATGTTGTGATGTTGAGGAAGTGATGTTGATCTAAAGCTGCGGAGGCAGTGCTTATCCGCGCTATTACATCATAGAGTTGTGCATTCTACATTCTGTCGTTTTGGCAGTCTGCCTTCAATATAAGCTGTTTATATTAACAACAAAGTTTTTATAGTGCAATGACCTGTTATATGACAAAAGATCCAGGACATTTTGGTTTCTCAGTTCATGACCACTTTAATGAAAATTAAGCAAATTTAAACTCCCCTCTCCCATTGTCAGTATGCTGTTTTGGTGCGGGGAAAAAATCTCATTCATTACTGTAAAACAACAAAAAATGTATTATTTAAACATGTCATTTAGTACAATTCTAATAAAACACATCATAGCATTTGTTGTACTGAATTTAATTCATGCAATTTGTATTATTTATATTAAAAATCTCTTTGTCTAGGTAAGATGATTTTCATTACTATATTACATTTAATGAGAATCAGGTTTTTTAAAATGACAGCAGGAGTCTTTAACAGGGGGTCTACCAATTGTCGTTGATCTGAAACAAATAAAATATACATTAAATAAAAATACAAGATCATGTTAACCAAAGCTAAATTGAGCTAATTGCTGCATTACTGTAATGAGAATTTTTTTATTGTCATGAAAATAATATCAAATTAAAATCTACTAAAATGTACAATAAATGTTTTAAAGTTTTGATTTGATTGTACTGTCTAATGTAACCCAGACTTTTCTTTGAGGAACTAACGTATATTTGAAAGTTCATTACAACTTCAGCTCTGCATTCACACAGGATTCTACAATCATCTGATGGGAAAATCATTTTAATGAATCCATATATTCAGAAATCTCAGTAATGACTCGTAAATGGAAGTCAAATGAATTCCAAAAAAAAACAAAAAACTGTTTTATGTAAGATATGTATTAAGTCATTACACATCTTTCTTGACTTCAGGTCCTCCTGGGAAACGTGGACGGATGGGCAGAAGAGGCGACCCTGGTGAGTGCGATCTCTTAATTTATGTTCCTCAGCACTTTTCTATAAACATTGTTACTAGTGTCCCTAATTCATAATCATTAGATGTGACTGGGAGGAAGTCCTCACTGAATGTAGTTTTGAGTCACCGTAGACCCTCAGATGATTCAGAGGTATTAAACTCAAGACTGATGATGACTCGGCCATACAAATAAAGATGCTGATGTATTTCTAAGTGAGCTGTGCTGTAGACACACATGGCTCTCAAGGGCACAGATTGAGAGAGGTTTTAATTAAAAGAATGATTCAGTGTCACATCACTTGCGGAAGAAGCCGTCAGTACAGCTTGTGAAGCTTAAGAAGGTGTCCAGATGATGTCTCACCATTACCTCAAGTATGCCATAAGATTATCTTTGGATAATGTGTACAGTTTGTACAGCAGAACCTATATTCACCTTCTGACCATATCCGATTAAATCTGGGTTTGCGGCGTTCCCACACAACTGGCATTTGGACAGGATGGCAATTCTTTACATCTGTTTTTCAAACTTGTTCCAGCCCCGCTGCCCTGGGAGAGGAACTTCAAACGTTGGCAGAGCACTTTATTTACATAGAGATAGTGGGTCGTTTTGTCACTAAGTCTGCTAGATGTGGTTCTGTTTAGCTGCGCCTGCTTGTTGTAGTTTGGGCCATAAAGCGGGTGGGAAGAGTCGAATGTGGAGGTGGATGGAGGAAGAGGCTCTCCGTTGCACAACAGTCTGTTTGTTTCTCTAGTGTCAGGGAGAAAATATGGTTGGAAAGCTGGAAGATATTTAGCAGTCTAATCAGTGCAAACATTAGGCTGGTCGTATACATCCATGATAGTTCAATCGTTAAAAGTGCTCGTTTAATTAGAACCCTCGTCAATTAAAAGATTAAACATTTTGCTAAACAATTCTGATGTGCTCAATTAAACCGTAAAACACACTCTCATTATTTTTCTCTTTCAACATCTCACTCCTAAATGCTTTCCAAATGGTGAAGCCATTTCGTTCACAATGGTCAGAACTTGACTGTGCTGAGTGAATGTTATCTTTTAAACTCCAGCGTCTAGACGTGAGTAAATACGCCAATACGCATAAAACCTCAACACATCTTTTAAACTTCTTTGTCTCCTCTGAGGGTCATAACACCATACCTGATGAACATTTCAGAAAACTCGAAGAACATTAAAAAAAAGGTTTAGAGGTTTACCTTTTTGTTAAAAGAGTAGAAGTGTGATTTTGTGTTATTAAACATTTGAATTGTTTTAAAGGTCTGTTTGTTGTTGTTCTTTTATTTTTCAGGACCCCCAGTAAGTACCCTGTCCTCACACTTCAAAATAATGACATTAGGCAGATATGGGCTCTGTATTGTGGTAAGGCTGACAAAACGTTTGAAGGGTGAGTCATAAAACCTGAGAAAGGGCCTTCAAGTTCTGGAATCTTTCATGCATCCTGAATATTTGCACCAAGTTTGTCTGACTTTAAATGTCCAGAACCCTCAAATTTAAGCTTCTGAAAAATTAACATTCTTTTGAGATTCCAGAATAAAGCTTAAAGAACAAAGTTCTGGGATATTCACTTCAGAGCAGCTGAAAGTCTAACGCTTCAGAAGATATGGTGCTTCTGATATTAAAGTTCTAGAATATTCAAAACCCGCATTAAAGTTCTGGTATCCAACAAAAGTGTAACACAGTGTAAGAACAGGTTGCTGACTGTCTGTCACCTGCTTTAGATTTAGGTTAAAACCACACCATCAACACCTTGTTGCAAACAGATATGTGGTTTCTAATCCATATTTGAACAGGCTGTCATGAAGAATTCATCTGTTCATCTGTTTAATGCTTGCAGATGTCAAATTATGTGACAGCTTTCAACATTTTAACAGTTTAGGTTGGTTTGCTAACTTTCACGTTTAGTTTCTGGTCTTCTGTAGAGCAGAAGTCCACCAGTTTATTTACTCTGAAGTCAATTGCAATGTAAAGAAACCCTAAAACACTTGAAGTTTTCATTTATAATCCTGCAAGGTGCTGTTAATCCAACTAATAAACCCATAAAACAGAGATTTACTTTGCGGAAGTTTTAGAAAGTGTAAGTATGTTCTTCAAGTTCAGATTGGTTAATGAGAATAGTTTACAGTAGTTTACTTTTTATCACACTGAATTTAGAAAATTTGGCCTTTTTTCATGAAACTGAACATTTACCTTGAGATTTGTAATCTTTTTTAATCTACCGTAGGTCTATATTTATTTATTATATCTCATTTTTCTTTGCACAGGGCAAACCTGGGCGAGACGGTTACCCGGTAAATGTCTTTTAAATTATCTAGTTTCTTTCTTGGGTTTTAATCTCCGTTTTATGGAGCTCTTCTTCTAATTGCTTCTATCACTTCCATTTGATTTATTGTTGATCTCAATTTTTTCCTTTCTGTCTTACAAAATACCTGTGCAGCTCCCCAGCTAACAGAGAACGTTCTCAGAACTTTGGGTAATATTCTAGCAAAGATCTCTCAAAGTTACAGTATAAATAAACATTCTTACAGTGACATTAATAGAACGATATTTGTTTTAATAATGTTCTCAAAACATTAAAACAAAAATGTGTACATTCATACAATATATACAATATCATTCATGGAAAATTTTTCATTCTTGGGAGTTTTCTGAAACATTTTAGTTGGACGTTCTTCAGTTTTTAAACAACTTAAACAGCTTTTAATACAAGTTAAAAGTTTCAGATGGGTTTTTTATTTTATTTTAAAATTGAATGTTCCCTTAAAGTTTTCAAAACATTCACATAACTAAAAAAATGGTTTGGACGTTCAGCGAACATTCCGAAATAACAATTTCGTAACTTAAAGGAAACACAAAGTTCTTGGAACATATTTTTGTTAGCTGGGTCATAATATATATATATATATATATATATATATATAATTTTATTTATTTATTTATTTTTTTTAAAGGAACATGAATTACACAGCTTATGCAGTGAGAGGTGTGTTAGCAATAGTGTCTAAAGTCTGCACTAAAACATTTCAAACTGTTCTACTGCACACTTCATCATCGACACCTTCATCTCTGATGAAGAATGAACTCTTTCGCTGCTATTTCTGCAACATGGCCGATAATGATGCTGAGTTTCCTGGAAAGAGTGAAAGCGCTCCTGGGCTCAATTACACTGGTAATGGTGTTTCTCTGTTGAAAACGCTGTAGATTCATCCCTTTGGCTAAACTTGGGTGCAGGACAGCAGGCCAGAGACACTTAGGACTCTTAGTTTATAATTTCCTGGTTTCTTGAACCTTGAAATGGAAAGTACTGGGAAAGCAGTCGGGCGTTTAGAAATGAATCAAGCTTAGAAAAAATATTTGAACTGTGACATATGGGCAGAGGTACTCTGATCTGTTAAAGTACAACACATCTGATGATTGTTTTTTGATAGCTGGGCGTTGATTAGAGTACTTTGTGTTCAAATAAAAAGATATTTGCTTGGTAAACTGTAAGTCATAATTTAATCTTTTGTTTCACTTAAGAAACAAGCCCCAGTCAAACAATCAATAGTCAGTTTATATATTTTTTAGTACCTCTGTTTATGTAGATACAAACATGAGATCAATTCTTGGGGTCCAGATTTCCAGTTGAATTGGATCATTGTTTTGATTGTGTGATCTATTGTAGAAGTGGTCTGGTGGCCTCTAGTGGCTGTCAGTGGAACAGCGGACAGCAGAATGATAAGCAGCAGGCTGTTCTGGAACATGTCAAGGTGAACCTTGGGTCAGATTGTGTTTAGTCACAAATCGAATGAGGCTTTGTACCTTGTTTTGTCTGGATCTTAATTGTGGACCCCTTGGTTTGGTTGGTTTGGCTCCAGATATCAAGAGATGTTTAGTTAACAGGCCTTACTCACCTCGCGGCGTGAAGTGTGAGTTCAATAAAAAGAGTATATTTGTCAGGGAGTTCTGAGTAAGCCTTACTGTGCCTCTTTAGCCAACTATACTGCAGATGTATTTATTACATTACCACTTCCTGTCTCTGTACCCATTATCTCTGCATGGTATCGTTGCAGTAAATCAGAGTGATGTTTGTACTGATATGCTGTGGCGTATCTGCTGTATACCAGCCTCTAGATAACAGTCTATGCCAGGCTGGGTCAGTCATGCCCAGCAAATTAGTATTAGAGGTACACTCATGGTTTTCCCAGATTTGTAAGTCTGCCGGGAAAAGTCTGTGGCTAATTATAGACAGGTGTGTGTGTGTGTATGTGTGTGTGTGTGTGTGTGTGTGTGTACATGCTGCACACACTGTCACACACTGAAACAAAGAAAAGTCTGGGTCATATTTCACCCTAAAATTTTGTATGGTTTATTATATGTGTATATGTATATGTATACATGCAAAAATAAATTATACAAGAAAAAAAACCAATTCTCATTACTGTAATAAAGTAATACAAATATAGCTCAGACATAATTAAATCAATTAATAAATTTACTTTATTTATTTATTTATTTTAATGGGAATGCAATATTTGCATAATGAAATATATTCACTCCAAGTAAAATAGTATAATAAAGTAATGTGTTTATGTTATATGATAATGTTATATGTTGTAATGTAAGCTGGGCATTTCTTTACCATAGATTATTAATATTAATATTATTATTATTATTATTATTATTTATTACAATAATGGGAATGCAATATTCACAAACAAATTAAATGTAACTTTACATTACATAACATTTCATCTTTAACTTATCTTTGCTCATATAGAGTAAAGGATTTAGACAAAACAAAAAAAAACTTAGGCTGTGCTGGCATTTTTGTTTGGCATGGAGCTGAAGCTCATTGGGCTCAATAGTAGAATAGCTTACTATATGTGAGTGGATCGGATTTCCTAAACTGGAGCGTGTCCATTAGCATTTGCCAAGCCTCTGTAGCATCTGGAACAGTGCGACAGGTGCGTGTGTGAACTCACCCCAAATCCACATCCTTTACGGTTTACAATGCAATCTCAAAATGCTTTCGGCTAGCAACTGTGGAACATACGCTAGTGATTTCACTCCATTCACCAGCAATAGCCATCTTTTAAACAATCCCCTTTACTCCCTCTCACAGCGTGATTGTTCTTATCCTGTAAACTGGTTTGACAGACAGTTTGTGTTAACTTGCGTCATATAGCGAGGATTATTAATGACAAAAAGCAGATGATTTCAAGTAAATATAATTTACACTGTTACACAAGCCCTGAGGAATTTAGTTGATGAGCAACAGGAGCTAAACAGGAAGTGTACGCAATCTACGCATATACATTTGATGGAATCCAGGTAGTTCCAGGTTAAATCTGTTCTGTAAGTGCGCTGGGTTAATGTTACTCGCATATGTGGACACAACGTGTGTGTAGAAGCTTCGACATTGTTCTTATAAGCTCAGGTGGTGCCCACATGCTGTCAGTGCTCATTTGAGGCCGTGATTTGATTAGCGGTATCGTAAACAGAGTGTATTACATGCAGACGCTGTTGAGAACGGCTCTCACGAGACTGTCGTTTAGGTTCTCTCATAAATGATCCCTTTGGATTTGAGCATGTGATGGATAGAGTGATCCATCTTTCTGGATGATGCTCTTTTTGATGATGGTGATCCTCTTTTTTCCGAACATGCCGTGGCCAAGATTACTAAACTGCATAAATGTCCTGGTTTAGGCTTTGCTTTCCTATTGTTTTCATACTTGCTGAAGGTAATGACTGAAAAGTAGTCTGACCAATAAATATAATCGACCAGTCATGAAATGAGAGAAGGTGGGATTTACAGAGAACAGTCAAAGCAATCAAATACACATAAAGTATGAGGACTGTAAAGAGCACATCAAAAACATAACAACGCCAAAACCTGGACTAATTAATGGCAATTTACATAACAACAATGTACTAAAAATTGAGACGTTTTTAAAAGGTCAAAACGATTTCGTTCAACGACTAAAAAGCTGTATTATGCCAGTAGCTGGCGATGTCACTTTGTAAAGAAACACACACACATACCTATAAACTGAACACGCAATGTGCATAACATCACCGTTTTCACAAATTTGAGTGTTTGTAGTTTACATGGAGACGATAGCAGTATCGTTTTCATAAACCTGCACTTTGAAATGCACTTTCAAAAGTTTGCATTTTCAAGTCACCAAAATGCATTAAATGTTTTCTGGTTTTAGTTGAAAATGGTGTCGTGTGAATGGCCATTTAGAAATCCCAGCCAGGACATGTGAGAGGAAAAAAAGAGGGTATATGATCATCCCACTGATAAAGATTGCTTG